CACTACTTATAAAAGATGATATGGGTGACAAAACTTTTCATTGTTTTTTATTTAAAAATTTTAAATATAATGGTCATTCAAATATGATAAGAGTAAATATCCCCACATTTAGGGGTAATTTTTAATTTAACTTTGTCCTTTTCTATCTTTTGTTCTTCAAATAACTCCCACCTGACCGATGAGTAGTCTTGTAGGCTGATGGACTCACTGGGGCAAATTATTCTCAGTTTGTTAGTCTTCTCCATAACACTGTAAAACATATGTATAATATAACTTGAAATACACATGCCACTTAAGATGGAAATAAATTCTATGTAACTATAATTAATCACATAATTCATACATGTGTTTTTGTGATCAAATGCATTTGAAACTCCATACCTATTTCATTATAATTAATCACATGGTTCATACATGGTTGGGCGTGGTAGCCTTTGACATTTTGTAGTGAAATTTGGAAAGGATTGTAATGAAGGTGAAAGTAATTAGCTCATCAAACAGCAAGGAGAGGGAGGCTATTGAACACTTCCAGTGCTGATTCTTTCCTTGATAGCAGTAGTATTGAAGAAATATAGATATGAACAATATGGATAATTTGAATTTACTCTCTTACTTGATACTATGAGTTTAATTTGGATAGAGGAAATATTTGCAATATGAGAATCTAAGGTGACCTATAAAATGTTTCTAAATTGGGCAAAGTATTGCTTTTTTGGATACATGTGTAAAATTTACTAAAATAATATTGTAATTTCTGATTCTGGACTCATTTGTAATTCTCTACTATATGCATATTTGAAAATGTTATCATTTATTTAATTCATATATTCTATTCTTTCCTGGATCCGACGAGCCAACCTAAAACATTTTACATTCTTTAACTCTCTTTAGAGAGAGATAGAACGCATGCATGGGTGTGAATTTTTAATCGCATGAATTTAGATTTCTAATCTCTAACTCTCTCTGAGATTTTGTGTTTGTTGATGGGATTTTTCTTTTTATATTGTGTCATTTTCAGGGAAAAGTAAAATATAAGAAAAAGATAGAGAAAAATAAGAGGGAAGAATGGTAAGCGCAAAGGCGAGTTTCAAGATCAGAGTAACTTGTCAAGAATTATGAATGTTTTTGTTAAAAAGGGTTTTAGTCTAATTTATTTAATTTTCTCTATAATTTTTTAATGATTCAGATCAAATAGGCATATTTATTCTAAAACCATTACAGATAAGAGAGGAAGGTGCAGTCAATTATGCGAGTTGCTCAAGATATCTGAGGTACTGCCATTTGATCTTTTAGAATATAATGCTATGATCTAATATGATTTCACCTCCATTTTGGGGGAAGATTTTGATGTGAGTACTTAAATTAATTCATTTAAAATCTTCATATTTGTATCTTTTGATTCAATGTAATTTCGCAAAGTGCAATGAAACATTCAGGCCTTGTTTTATCTTCTACACAAACATACATCAGTGGACGTGTTTTCCCAAAGGTTATAGAATTTCCCCAAAGTTATAGAATTTCAGGTCTGACCTTTCTCAAGAAATGTTTTGTATTTGATTGGTAGCATATTGCTTAATTTAAATAAATCATTATATTTCTAATGCTTTCATGTTCTGTAAATTTCCTATCACTTTTTTTGGGTTGAAGTTTCACATGTATTGAAACTTAAAGACATGCACAGTGGTGTTGACTTCATCATTGTCACATTATAGTGAGTTTTAATACAATGTGGCATCAACTTCATCCAATGCCTTGCTGAATAATTTTAAAGGTTACTCTCTGTTTAGTTAGAAAGAGCTTTGAATTGGACGTATTAAAGGTCAAACATGCATTTTCCTATTGTCTATGCTATTGCGTTTGTTGCGTGTACTCTATTTATTTTGTTAATTATTGGTTCCGCTCTAAGTGTTTATTGAAGATATTTATGTCTACTGATAGTATTTGCCTCACTATTGACATCCTACTTGGGCGTCTCATATTGTGGCAGAGTACAGATTAGGTTTATTTTCTGTGACAACCTTGAATATGATGCTCGCCAATTAGGACTTCAGGTAGCTTTTTAGCAAATGTGGAAAGGTTGACATGAGGTGAGTTAAATCCCCATAACTGATACTGGATTGGAGAACTTTTTGTACTTTTAATTGTTGAGCACTTTGTTCTGGCTATATTATTGACCTCTAAGCATTTATAGATATTAGACATGAAGCTTTGAGCGATGGTTTGCGCAAAAAATATGCATCTCTGGAGCATGTATTGAATTTATGGAATATTACGGGGCATCATCTGAAGATGCATTTCATAATTTATTCCTCCCTAAATACGAGGATGACCATCTTTGATTCACAAGACTACATGTTTGCCATCTTTGATTCACAAGACTACATGTTTGATTCCTAAAAATTTTGAGTTGCTTTCTATTTTGATCATTCTTTACTTTTTAACCTTGAACTCGGCGCATAGCTACTATTGCACGCGCAATGTCTATTTATGAAAACTATTAATATTAGTTGGAAAGATATGGATAATATTGTTCTATAATTGACAAAGATTACATAACCTTGAAGAATATGCATATGTAGAAATTCATACAGAAGCATAAATGGAATAAAATCACTCAGATACAAGTAAATATCTTAGAGGTATATTCATTTTGAAATTGAATAAAGAAATCTTAGATAGTGATTGTTAGAAAGTAAACATTGAGATGGATGATATTGAGTTTAATTAATAGGTAGTCATTTAAGTGTTAACTCAATCATTCTTCGTCTAATACTCTCTCTCTTTGGTGTAGATGAAAATTATGTTGAGGTCAGGAGAAATTAGCTCGCATGCGTGGGAATTGGCTAATTTTAAGATCGCTTTACGAATCTAACAATAAGATATTAATACTTCTTAATTAAGTATAGAGTCAATAAGATACTAATTTTTTTAATTAAGTCATCTTCCTCTACTCCAAGAAAACCATAAGAATGGCCTTTGTGAACTTCTTAAACACCATGAAGCGCCAGCTTCGTAGCGTATTGATGAGTATTGATACTTTCTTATTGCTAAGAAATTAGAGGTAATTTTGAAGGTGATGGCAGTCTTGGTGGCTCCATTTGGAGCTTGACAACAGATATAATTGCACATGACACAACAACACAATGTATGTCTATCATCAGATATAATTACATACTGAATTATTGCTAGAAGAGCATGGATAACGGTCTCGTGTTCACAGTATCATCTTCAAAAGTAGCATAGTCAATCATCAGTAGAAGTACATGGAACTATATTTGGTCACTTAATCACCCATTATAGGTGATATCATCGAGATTTGAATGTTTGGAGAAATATTAATTCTTACATCTTGCAAATAGGTTTTGGTATGAACTTAGTTGCAGTGGTGAATTCTTTTAAAGATTTTTTTTATTTTCATTTTTAATTTTTTCCGTATTAATTATCAAGTTAAGAGAATAACATGTAGTTGATTAACTACAATTTGTTGATATGGTCATGTGAGTATAAATTTGTGACATATACAAGTAATTAGGAGAAATTAGCTCTTGTTGATAGATTTTTTTCCCTCGCATCAATTTATAATTATAAACTTTTAAATTTGTTTAATTTGTCGATTCATTAACACACCCATATGTTGATTAACATGGTTGTTCTCTCAGAGAAAATCTTTAAAATAATAAGTGAGTACCTACTATTTCACTTTGACATCTCAAAGTTTACCAATTTTTAACTTTGAAACCCCCAAAGTACTTTTTTCAATATTTTGATATCCCACTGTTTTAATCGTATTTTAGTTTCATAACCCCAAAGTACTTTTTAACACTATGATATCCCAAGGTTTCTATCTCATTTAACTTTGATACCTACATCTAGATCTATTAGATTTTTTTGTTAATTTTCTACTGCTGTTTTAGCAACTGGGCAAACTGAATCTAAATGTATCAGATGCTAAAGGCACCATACAAATTAAACAAAAGATCTAACACAACTTGGATAGGGTATCAGAGTGAAATATGATTGGAACTTTGGATATTAAAATGTTACATGAATACTTTGGGTATCGAAGTAAAATTGGATTCAAAGTTTGGGGTATCAAAGTGTTAAGAAATCCTTCAGCCTATTGAAGTAGAAAGATGTAAACTTTAGGATATCAAAGTGAAAATTATCATTTTCGTTTTAGCTCATCCTATTGCAAGTTTAAGGATTATTCCGTATTTAACAAGCAATTTTTCCTCTCTGCAAATGTATCCTCTAGCAATATTGTTTTCAAGGTTGATCTTTGAACTAGCATGTTTTTGTTTTTTCTTTCTTTGTATAGGTTGTGTAGCTTGAATGAGAAGCCCACTCTCATCTTAGGGATGTAATGTTAGTTCATTATGGATGTAGCTAACATTGAATAAATCTAAACCATATTTGTGTGTAGTTGCTTAATTTGTGTGTAGTTGCATAATTGTTTTTTTAGGTAAATGTTAGTTCATTGCGAGATTTTTGTTGTTTGATTTGTTTCTTTTTTTTTGTAGTTGTTGCATTTTTGGTGAATTTGCCCATTTATGTTTGTTTTCTGTGAAGATTGTGGTGAAGGCGATGCTGATAATAGACTCTTGTATAAGCATGATGCTTGTACTATTATTGTAGAGTTAATCTCTACTCTATGTGAAGTATAAGCGCGTGCTTCATAAAAATATTAATATTGATGTATGCAGCATTAGTTGACCTTCAGAGGTTTCCCCCCATAGAGTTCCTAACATGCATCACGTGCAACGCACGCTTTGCATACTTGTTGCACAAAAAGCCACCACGCCAAAATCAATTGTAACCATTTCTAGTTACTAAACATAATGATGCTATTTTTGGAAATTCTGGATTCACCACGCTTTGATTTACAGATCCAAACCCGAAAAAGCAAAGAACTGTCAATAATGAAAACTCAGGTACTAAAGCACAAAACTTCTCGCCAAGCTAAAACAGCTTTGCGCAGTTACGCAGAAAACGACATCAGCCCCGCCAGCGTTCAACTGCCTCCCACCCGCTACCTACTTCGCTGCCTCCATAAAATCCCCCACCCAGCACCAAAAGGGTAATTTTTTTTAAAAAATAAAAAAAAGCCCCCCACGGTCAGATAATTACAAAATCAACCCCCAAAAAGATGTCGCCGGCGACAAAACTCCTCGCCGGAGCTTTCCTCCTCTTAGCTCTCTACTGCGGCACCGACCCCCTCAACCACAGCTCGATGGCGGAGTTCCCGGGGTTCGAGACCTACGCGGTCGAGTTACCGCCGGCGGCGGAGATCCCGACCGCGAGGGACGCCGAGGATTCTCTGCAGAGGGCGGAGGCTAGGTTTTTGGGTCAGGTTCAGGGGCCGGAGAGCGTCGCTTTTGATCCGCAGGGGCGTGGGCCCTACACTGGTGTTGCTGATGGTAGGGTTTTGTTCTGGAATGGCGAGGCTTGGTCTGATTTTGCTTACACTTCGCCGGTTAGGTGAGAGATTGGTTTTTTATTGGTAAAGATTGGATTTTCCCCCCTTTTTTGCGGAATTGTTAAGGAATTGAGCTTAACGTTCAGATAAATCATGGTTTCGGCATTTTTATGGATTAATGAAGTTAGGAGTTGAATATTCTATGTTTTCTTTCTTATTTCTGAAGAATTTACAGGAAAAAGATTTTTCTTCAGTTAAAGGAACTATATTTTGGTGATATTTAGATTTTTTTTCCCGAGATATAAGCTATGGTTTTGTTTTGAAACCTTTTTTTTTTATTACCCGGAGCGCTTCCAAAATCATTCGTACATACGCCCAAATCATCCAAGCTGACATCCAACCTGTTTTATTTTAAACCCGAAATCTGTGTTAATCTGATGTGAACTATGATAAAGTGCTGTAATATGATATAGCTGCTATAATATTTGTTAAACTTCCATAATAAAGGGGCCAAACCCCAATTATGGGTTTAAAAATAAACCATGTTGGGCTTTTTGAGCATATGAATGATTTTGAAAGTTGACGAGTTTAAAATAATTCAGGGTAGAAGAATGGGTTTAGAATAAACAACCATTATAGTCATTTAATTCTAACATTAGACTGTGATATAAAAAAGGGAAAAGCAGGAAGTGGAATAATTTAAACAAGGAGAAATAGTACAATATGTATAGTACAGAGTAATTGTTTCGGGTAATTTGTTACAGTATTTGTATAACATGTTTTTCTTTCGGTGAGATTGAAGACAAATGGAAAATTGAACTTCAAGTAAGTTGTTTTCAACACATATAATAAGCTTTGGCTCAACAAATGTTTGAATAAGCATTTAGCTTTATTTAGAAAACTATTCAATATAACTGCTGAAAAATTACTTTTAACCTTTTGTTGAGTCGCTACGTTCTTCTGAGAATCAAAAGAAAAAAAGGTTATATTTATCTGGTTGATGTGAGATGAACATGTGAATGCTGAGGTTAATGTGTAACGACTCCGCAACTTTTTGCGTATGATTGGAGATTTACTTAGTGTCAACAGTAATGGGCAATTTCATTGTACATTTCAGATTTTAATATTAAATTATACTCTCTGTTTCTTTCCAATTTGTTAAAATGACTCGACTGATAGATGACCATATGAATTTTATTTTTGTTTTTTTAAGCTTTGCATTGGATACACTACCTCAACATTGTAAGAATAAACATATATGTTCTTGTTGCAGTTGCTCAATGCAGTCTATATCTCTCAGTTACTTATCAATATCCACTATACTAACCATGAAATGAATGCGTGTTCAATAAAGGTCAGACATATGTAACCCTAAGTCTTCACCTTTGGACTATTTGAAGAATGAGCATGTTTGTGGACGCCCACTGGGTCTCCGATTCCACAAGAAAACTGGAGACTTATACATTGCTGATGCATATTTTGGACTGTTAAAGGTAGGGCCTGAAGGTGGTTTAGCTACCCAGTTAACTACAGAGGCAGAAGGAGTCCCTTTAAATTTCACAAACGATTTAGATATTGATGAAGAAGGGAATATCTATTTTACTGACAGTAGCACCAATTACCAAAGGAGGTATGTAGTTCTCAGGCTAAAATTTTAGCAGAAATTTGTTGATCTTATCGCTTTATACTTTTTAGTGATGTTACACTGTTCTAAAATTTCATGATGGTTAAAAGGTTATGATAGTATTTGCACTTTAAAAATATGTGGACCGCAAAATAAATAAAAAAAGGAAAAGAATGGGAAAATAAGCTGAACAATGTTTTCTTCTTCTAATTGATAAATAATATGAACTTGAATGTGGCTGGTTCGTAATTGCTATAACCTGGTGTTCTCTGGTTTGATTCTCATGGTTTTCTCTTTTCATTGGTCAATCAGTCAATGTTCTACAATGAAAATATGAACTATACATTGTCATTTTGGTTTTCATATATAGAACTCATTGTAATATTTCCACAGTCAGTCCTGCCAAATGTGTAACTAAATTACGGAATCACATTATCATAATTTCCCCTATTTACAATTGGTTAAGTACTATCTCTTTGCGACGATATCTCTCAATCCGGAAGGCGGAATTTAACATATAATATATGAAAATCGCCTATCTCGACGAGACGAAGCTATCCGTGAAATCAGAATTTGGAAATAGTGGGCATCGATGTCGGCATCGATGTGGGCATCGATGCTGGCATCGATACCTGCATCGATGCCTGCATCGATACCAGATTACTGTAGCGCGCGTCAATGGCTGATTTTGCTTGTCTTGGGGCTCAAGTTTGATCCAATGGCTCTCATTCACTGATGTTTACTATAAATAGGGGTAGAGAGTGAGGGGTTAGAGGTGTGAAAATTTTTGTAAACTCCTTTTGGAGAGGAGGGCTACTCTTAATTGAGAAGGCCTTCCAAAATTGTAACTTTAGTTGCAATTAATAATAATAATTTTTTCACCACTTTAAATATTTCTTCTCTTTGTTGGATGATGAAGATGGAGATGAAGAATTATTTAGAGGTTTGCATTTTCTTTCCTTTTTCTCTTTTATTTCCTTTTTATTGCTTATTAGTGTAGATTTATTTCTATGCTTGTAGTTTAGATTTTATTTTCTTGTTAAATAGCCAAGAGGCTAGAACCCTCTTGCCTTAGATTTATTTCATGCTTATAGAGTAGATTTATTTTCTTGCATTTAATTCTTGCAATTTTATTTTGTAGTTTAGATTTTGCACTTTATTTTGTAGTTAGATTTTAATTTCTTATACTATTCACCTTGAGGCTAGAACCCTCTTGGGTTTAGTTTTTCTTTTTGTTTATTTTTATTTTGTTTGATTCGCCTTTAGGCTAGAACCCTCTAGGGAATCACCCTTTTCTAAGAAGTGGGTTTAATTTTAGATTACCCATATCTATAATTGAATCCACCATCTTTAATTTCTTGCATTTTCTTTTATTCTTGAATTTTGTTCTTCATTCTTGATTTTTTTATTTTTGTTTCTTGATTTTATTCATTTTTCCTTCTCACCTTATTGTTCATACTCACTCTCATTTACACTTTGCACCTATTTACACACCACTTTCACTCTCTCAATCTCTTCACAATCACATTCACTTATCACTCCTATTTGTCACGCACACAAAATAAGAACCAATTTCATATTTTCTCCTACAAAACACCTTCCTCGTGGGATCGATATCTTAAATACTATAACTTGACACGGTTGTGCACTTGCAACCTTTTTGGTACATGTTTATGCCGCATCATTATGCAAAACCAAGATTAGTGTTATCTACTAAATATGCTCATGTATAGATATTTTTCTAGAGCTTATATTACAATGTTAAGGAATTTAGTAGTGAGGATCTAACAAGTGAAAGAAAACCTTATTCACACACGCGCGCGCACACACACACTACTTATAAAAGATGATATGGGTGACAAAACTTTTGATTGTTTTTTATTTAAAAAATTTAAATATAATGGTCATTCAAATATGATAAGAGTAAATATCCCCACATTTAGGGGCAATTTTTAATTTAACTTTGTCATTTTCTATCTTTTGTTCTTCAAATAACTCCCACCTGACCGATGAGTAGTCTTGTAGGCTGATGGACTCACTGGGGCAAATTATTCTCAGTTTGTTAGTCTTCTCCATAACACTGTAAAACATATATATAATATAACTTGAAATACACATGCCACTTAAGATGGAAATAAATTCTATGTAACTATAATTAATCACATAATTCATACGTGTGTTGTTGTGATCAAATGCATTTGAAACTCCATACCTATTTCATTATAATTAATCACATGGTTCATACATGGTTGGGCGTGGTAGCCTTTGACATTTTGTAGTGAAATTTGGATAGGATTGGAATGAAGGTGAAAGTAATTAGCTCATCAAACAGCAAGGAGATGGAGGCTATTGAACACTTCCAGTGCTGATTCTTTCCTTGATAGCAGTAGTATTGAAGAAATAAAGATATGAATAATATGGATAATTTGAATTTACTCTCTTACTTGATACTATGAGTTTAATTTGGATAGAGGAAATATTTGCAATATGAGAATCTAAGGTGACCTATAAAATGTTTCTAAATTGGGCAAAGTATCGCTTTTTGGATACATGTGTAAAATTTGCTAAAATAATATTGTAATTTCTGATTATGGACTCAATTGTAATTCTCTACTATATGCATATTTGAAAATGTTATCATTTATTTAATTCATATATTCTATTCTTTCCTGGATCCGACGAGCCAACCTAAAACATTTTACATTCTTTAACTCTCTTTAGAGAGAGATAAAACGCATGCATGGATGTGAATTTTTAATCGCATGAATTTAGATTTCTAATCTCTAACTCTCTCTGAGATTTTGTGTTTGTTGATGGGATTTTTTTTATATTGAGTCATTTTTAGGGAAAAGCAAAATATAAGAAAAAGATAGAGAAAAATAAGAGGGAAGAATGGTAAGCGTAAAGGCGAGTTTCAAGATCAGAGTAACTTGTCAAGAATTATGAATGTTTTTTGTTAAAAAGGGTTTTAGTCTAATTTATTTAATTTTCTCTATAATTTTTTAATGATTCAGATTAAATAGGCATATTTATTCTAAAACCATTGCAGATAAGAGAGGAAAGGTGCAGTCAATTATGTGAGTTGCTCAAGATATCTGAGGTACTACCATTTGATCTTTTAGAATATAATGCTATGATCTAATATGATTTCACCTTCATTTTGGGGGAAGATTTTGATGTGAGTACTTAAATTAATTCATTGGACGTGTTTTCTCTTGTTTTATCTAATATAATGCTATGATCCTTGTTTTATCTTCTACACAAACATACATCAGTGGACGTGTTTTCTCAAAGGTTATAGAATTTCCCCAAAGTTATAGAATTTCAGGTCTGACCTTTCTCAAGAAATGTTTTGTATTTGATTGGTAGCATATTGCTTAATTTAAATAAATCATTATATTTCTAATGCTTTCATGTTCTGTAAATTTCTTATCACTTTTTTTGGGTTGAAGTTTCACATGTATTGAAACTTAAAGACATGCACAGTGGTGTTGACTTCATCATTGTCACATTATAGTGAGTTTTAATACAATGTGGCATCAACTTCATCCAATGCCTTGCTGAATAATTTTAAAGGTTACTCTCTGTTTAGTTAGAAAGAGCTTTGAATTGGACGTATTAAAGGTCAAACATGCACTTTCCTATTGTCTATGCTATTGCGTTTGTTGCGTGTACTCTATTTCTTTTGTTAATTATTGGTTCCGCTCCGAGTGTTTATTGAAGATATTTATGTCTACTGATAGTATTTGCCTCACTATTGACATCTTTCTTGGGCGTCTCATATTGTGGCAGAGTACATATTAGGTTTATTTTCTGTGACAACCTTGAATATGATGCTCGCCAATTAGGACTTCAGGTAGCTTTTTAGCAAATGTGGAAAGGTTGACATGAGGTGAGTTAAATCCCCATAACTGATACTGGATTGGAGAACTTTTTGTACTTTTAATTGTTGAGCACTTTGTTCTGGCTATATTATTGACCTCTAAGCATTTATAGATAATAGACATGAAGCTTTGAGCGATGGTTTGCACAAAAAATATGCATCTCTGGAGCATGTATTGAATTTATGGAATATTACGGGGCATCATCTGAAGATGAATTTCATAATTTATTCCTCCCTAAATACGAGGATGACCATATTTGATTCACAAGACTACATGTTTGCCATCTTTGATTCATAAGACTACATGTTTGCCATCTTTGATTCACAAGACTACATGTTTGATTCCTAAAAATTTTGAGTTGCTTTCTATTTTGATCATTCTTTACTTTTTAACCTTGAACTCGGCGCATAGCTACTATTGCACGCGCAATGTCTATTTATGAAAACTATTAATATTAGTTGGAAATATATGGATAATATTGTTCTATAATTGACAAAGATTACATAACCTTGAAGAATATACATATGTAGAAATTCATACAGAAGCATAAATGGAATAAAACCACTCAGATACAAGTAAATATCTTAGAGGTATATTCATTTTGAAATTGAATAAAGAAATCTTAGATAGTGATTGTTAGAAAGTAAACATTGAGATGGATGATATTGAGTTTAATTAATAGGTAGTCATTTAAGTGTTAACTCAATCATTCTTCGTCTAATACTCTCTCTCTTTGGTGTAGATGAAAATTATGTTGAGGTCAAGAGAAATTAGCTCGCATGCGTGGGAATTGGCTAATTTTAAGATCGCTTTACGAATCTAACAATAAGATATTAATACTTCTTAATTAATTATAGAGTAAATAAGATACTAATTTTTTTAATTAAGTCATCTTCCTCTACTCCAAGAAAACCATAAGAATGGCCTTTGTGAACTTTTTAAACACCATGAAGCGCCAGCTTCGTAGCGTATTGATGAGTATTGATACTTTCTTATTGCTAAGAAATTAGAGGTAATTTTGAAGGTGATGGCAGTCTTGGTGGCTCCATTTGGAGCTTGACAACAGATATAATTGCACATGACACAACAACACAATGTATGTCTATCATCAGATATAATTACATACTGAATTATTGCTAGAAGAGCATGGATAACGGTCTCGTGTTCACAGTATCATCTTCAAAAGTAGCATAGTCAATCATCAGTAGAAGTACATGGAACTATATTTGGTCACTTAATCACCCATTATAGGTGATATCATCGAGATTTGAATGTTTGGAGAAATATTAATTCTTACATCTTGCAAATAGGTTTTGGTATGAACTTAGTTGCAGTGGTGAATTCTTTTAAAGATTTTTTTTATTTTCATTTTTAATTTTTTCCGTATTAATTATCAAGTTAAGAGAATAACATGTAGTTGATTAACTACAATTTGTTGATATGGTCATGTGAGTATAAATTTGTGACATATACAAGTAATTAGGAGAAATTAGCTCTTGTTGATAGATTTTTTTCCCTCGCATCAATGTATAATTATAAACTTTTAAATTTGTTTAATTTGTCAATTCATTAGCACACCTATATGTTGACT